ACCCTGTCTCAAAAAAAAAAAAGGAATAGAGTTAGTATTAACAAAGCTGTGAACATTTTTGGAAAATCTTTTTTATGGATGTAAGTTTCCATTCCTCTTAGATGCCATAGTGGTTTCCCAAGCGGTTGTAGCACTTTAGCCTCCCCCAGCAGTGTATTACAGGGTTACAGATGCTCCACATCCTCACCATCGCTTACTCTGGTCAGTCTTTAATTTTAACCACTCTAGTGGGTGTGTAGTGGTATCTTGTTGGGCTTTTGATTTGCATTCCCCTGATGATTTACCATGTTGATTATCTTTCTATGTGTTTATTGACCATATGTCTACTTTTTGGTACAATGTCTATTAAAACCTTTCCTCCCTTTCTTTATTAGGCTGTCTTCTCATTATCAAATTGTGAAAGTTCTTTATATATTCTGGATACAAGTCCTTTCTCAGATTTTTGTTTGGCAAATATTTACTCCCAGTCTTTCCAAGAGCAGAAGTTTCATCTTGATAAAGCCCAATTTATCAATTTTTCTTTTACGATTAGTGTTTTTTGTATCCTATCAGAAGGACCTTTCTCCATTGAGTTACTTTATCCTGTCTGGTTTGGATCCCATTGATCTATGTGTATGTCCTTATGAAAATCACACTGTTTTGACCTCTCATTTTGTTTCTTCATCTTAGCAAGACCACTGTGGGCTGCTTGGGTTTCCCCTCCTAAGCCAGGGAATGTCTCCAGGCAGAAGCTGAGGCAGTCATGGGCCACCGTTCTGTATGCTGTCTATCGTCAAGTGTCTGTTTCTTATATTTGGCCCAGTTTTCTGGTTGTCGGTGGCAGAAAGTCTTAATCCATTTCTGTAACCGCAGTGTCTGGCACACAAGCACTCTGTAATGTTTCTCAGCACCTCTGGACACAGGCCATTATAGTATCTTTTGGTTGGGAAGATCTGTGGAGCCCCAGAGATCATCTGATCCATCCCCTTCACTTTACTGAACCGTTCTTTTCCTGAGGAGGTCACTAGTCCTTTGCATCCTGGGCACAAGCCCACCCAGTTTCAACATATGTTTATTGAATGGGGAAACTGAGATCCAGAGAACAAAAGGTCACATGAGCAGGCAGGGCGGAGCTGGCAGAACTAGGTTTCCTCGGCTGGGATCTTTCTACAGCACTAACCGGGAGGACAGGGACTGTCTCTTTCACTGCTCCGTCACTCCCAACACCTGACACAGTGTTTGCACGTTGTAGGCTTCCAATACATGCTTGTTAAATAAACAACCAAATGAACAAATTAATTTTTTTTAATGCTTAGTTTGAATGGCTTCAGCCTCTGCATATGAATGTTAAGTGTATGTGTGTTTTCACATAGGGACAGGACTGGCCCCTCCTGCTCAGGCTCATAGGCCCAGATCCTGTCAGTAAATCTTTTTTTTGTTTGTTTTAATCCCCACTAGGGGGCACATGTGTACCACAGAGAGGGTCTGTCCTCGTTAAGAATAATACTAAGCAATAAAAAGGATCCCTTTAGTTGATCCCTCTAGAAGCCACCTCCTTGGTGTCTATACCCTGACCCTCCTGCTGAGAAAACAAATAAAACAGCCTTCCTCTCCAGCTCCCCACGCCAGCCGGGCTGCTGGCTGCCATCCTCTCCTCTCCCGAGGGCCCTGCCCCTGGCCGAAGGAGGCAACAGAGTAGCAGTGGCAGTGACTGTGAGTGATGCCCTCGTTGTCTGTCATCTCTGCCCGGAGCCACCGCTTCCTCCCTGAGGGGGACTGATGGGTCCTAGAGAGGCAGCTCTCTTCACCCCTCACCTGGCAGGCAAGGACTAACCTTTTGGGGCCCTGAGTCTGATCTGCCTTTGAATGTGAGCTCTTTCAAGAGAGAGCAGGGGGAATAACCCTGGCCAACACAGGCCCACCCTCAAAGGCATGGCCAGGACAGGTCCACAACTCCATTCTTTGTGCCTTTATAGACAGGTCACACCCAGAATTTCCTCACAGTCCCCGACTCTAGACTCAGGCCCTTTGTACCCTGAGCTTTGGCATCAGATTTCGCAGGCCCAAGGCCTCGCTTCACTGCTAGCTGGGAGTGACCTTGAGCAAGTTCTGTGAACTTCACTTTCCTTATTGGATAATGAGGATAACAACTGTTCCTGCCTCGTAAAGGAGACAGTGCATGAGATAAAGCAGTTGGCACAGTGCCTAGTCATAATGAGTGTTTGGTACATATTAGCCATTATTAATCATGTTACTAGTATGGTCATCGTTTTATTAACGTAAGCATCAGTGTAAGCCACTTTGCCATTCTCCTTTCTTGAGGTTCATGAAGAAACATTATTTTCCTCTGGCTCTAGATCGTGGGCTTCTTCCTACCAGGCTCTCCGCAGAGGGGCTGCGGGAGCCGAGGGAGCTGCTCTCCCACCACATTTTGTCTGCCTCGGATCGGGCACCACGCCTTGTCCATCGAGTCTTGGAGGAGGTATGCCCTTGCCCAGGACTGTCCTGCGCACACATACACGCAAGCACACGTTTGGGGTGGATGGGCATTCCCCAAGGTCGCATCTGCACCCTGGGGTGACACAGGACAGCAGCAGCTGTTGCAGCCTCTATGGCTACTTCCCTTGCTCCCCCACCCCACCCCCGCTACCTCATTAGTTCTCTGGTCATGCTCCAATCTCCAGGAGAGACTGGCACCAACCCTGAGTCTCAGTCACAGAAGTAGCAGACAGCCGTACCTCCCTGCTCCTGGCTGCTGCCCTTGGCCACCCTGCAGCTCCCAGCAGCCTTGTCCCTGTCACTCAGGCTCCCACCAGCAGAGAGATTAGCATTCAGATGGAGGAAGGGAAAACATCAGGGCAACCACCTCCTGTCTTCTCAGGGGCTGAGACTCACTCATGAGGCAGAGCCAGTTGGGGAGGTGTCTAGGGGCTTGTCCTCCAAGCCCCTGCTGGAGGTTGGGACAGGGCTCTGGGCACACAGAGCGGCCATGGTGGTCCCCTAGTACAGGCTTACTGGGTGCTCTCCCCACTCCAGCAGTTCCACCCTCTGCCACGCTCTAGTTTGTCTCAGAATTGCCAATTGCCCAGCTCTACACGCGCAGAGAGACAGGGCAGGAAGGACCGCAGGGCAAGGAGGGCAGGAACTCCAGCTGTTCTGAATCCACCACTGTTCGGTAACTTGGAGTTCACAGATAATTGTACTAGCTCACATGCATGGGACACTTACGAAGCATGCTAAGCACTTTATGCACATTATCAAATCAACCCTTACAACAACTTTAAGAGATAGGTACTACTATTACCTCCTCTTACAGCTGAGGAAACTGAGGCACAGAGTTGTTTAGAAACCTACCCAAGGCCACAGAGGGAGGAGGTGTGGTGGAGTCACGATTCAAATCTGGGCTGCTTTCAGATTCCTTGCTCTTTCCCTCAGCTCTGTCTCTCTGGTTGCCCTTTTTTTTTTTTTTTTTTTTTGGACACAGAGTCTAGCTCTGTTGCCCAGGCTAGAGTGCCATGGCGTCAGCCTAGCTCACAGCAACCTCAAACTCCTGGGCTCAAGCGATCCTCCTGCCTCAGCCTCCCAAGTAGCTAGGACACAGGCATGCGCCACCATGCCCAGCTAATTTTTTCTATTTTTAATTGTTTGGCCAATTTCTTTCTATTTTTAGTAGAGACAGGGTCTCGCTCTTGCTCAGGCTGGTCTCAAACTCCTGAGCTCAAGCAGTCCTCCCGCCTCGGCCTCCAGAGTGCTAGGATTACAGGCGTGAGCCACCGCGCCCGGCCTCTCTGGTTGCCCTTAACTCCCTCTCTACCGAGCCCCTGCACAGTCCTGCTCCCACTTCTAAGCAGCAGCTCTTTGCAAGGAAACAGGAGGGGAGAGGACTCAGCCTGTGTGGGGACAGTGTCATAGTCAGGATTTAAGTGACTCCTCTACTCAAAGGTCCACCCTTGCCACAGGCTTCACTGCAACCCCTGTGACAGGAGCAAGTGGGCTGAGGAAGGGACGCCTGGGTCCTGGGAGCCTTCTGTAGTGGAGTCCTAGGCTGAGGGAAGCAACTTTCTGCAGCAGTAGCTGCAAATGTGCAGATTGCGCGAAGAGCCCAGGGTGGGAGAGGCCCCGGGAATAAGAGGCGAGCGTGGGCTGGGTGTGCGGGGAAGGTGTAAACACAATCTGCTCCCACCAAAGCCAGCCTGCTCCCTGGGGAGAGAGCCCCCCCTCCCAGCCCACATGGCAGCCCAGCTGCCAGGGCCCAGGCAACCTCCAAGCCCCGGCAGCCACATTCCCCCCCGTCCAGCAGCCCCTTCCTCTCTCCTCCCCACCCTTCATCTGGAACGGACACCTGGAGGAGCCACCATCTCCTGCACAGGTTCTTAGAACGGTGCTGCAAAGGGCACCGCCTTGTGGAAGTGTGTCTGGGCCCTGTGCCAGCTCCATGACCTTGGCCTGACGAATCCTCAGACCAGTGGAAGGAGATGGGCAACCTGGAAATGGCGGCAAGGATGAGGTGACAGGAGCATGACAAGTAGACCAGAGGATGAATGCAAAGACAGGATCAGGGAACACAGACGAGGTCCCTGGAACAGGGCCCTCTGGTCCTCAGCCTGACAGTCCTGTCACCAGGAAGGCTGATGCCTCCCAGGACAAAGACAGGCTGACAGGAGCTGAGACAGGTGGTCACAGGCTCATGGCCTGGGTCAGGTGGGCATTCCGGCTTCGATGGGCTCCTTGCCCTAGTGTGACCTCCCCCTGCCTCCTCCCTGCCCTACTTTGAGAGGCTCCCACAGAACTGCCTCTGCACACACCCCAGGCTCCCTGCAGTACCAGCAGCCCCTCCCCAGGAGGCTGTGCCACCTCCCCCATCCTTCTGAGTGGCTTCCGAGTGGGTTCCCTCTCATCTGCTGCAGCTCTCACCCTTTTCCTTCCTTCCTTCAGATGTGGAGCGGCGGCTGAAGTGCTGCTGTCTAGAGAACTCCTCCGTCTCCTACTGCCTGAAAGTCAAGGGCAGGGGCCAGCCAGGCAGAGAGACATCGCAGCTGGGCCTGGCAGTGGGGGGCTGGATGGGGAGGAGAGATGCGAAGGCAAGGGGGGAGCTTTTGAAGATTAATGGCTGTGAGACAGTCGGGAGCAGCTGCCTGCAGGGTCTGCGCCTGGATCTCGGGAGCAGAAGCGGAAATCTGCTTTTATCTCTGCTCAAGATCGGGCAGGGTTGTAAAGACAGAGAAATGGCAGAGCAGCTGGGGGCAAAGGAGGCAGCCGCCGTGACTGAGCAGTCAGCAAATTGACAAAAACAAGTGTCATGCTTTTTCCCTTCCCACATGCTACTGCCCATTTGGAACACATGCGCGCGAACACAGAAAACACATTCAGAGGACAAGCTGTTGGTTGCTTCCCTCCAGCTGCAGGCAGGCGTGTCACAGATCCAACTGGCATTTCTTATTGAAAATTTCAGCAGAGCAGCCAGTGCCAGGATGAGCTCTGGGGACTGGGGAAAGGCCAATGCCATAGGAGGTGAGGACCACCACAGCAAACCGACACTTGCACAGCCCTGCACCACCAGTCCCAGGGCTAACAGAGTAGCTCCTGGGCTGACAGACAGGCAATCAGGCCGACGCCCCTCCCTCACCAGGCGGCTGCAAACTGTTAGGTGTCAGGGAGGCCGTGCCATGGTTTAAGAGCATGGGCTCTGCAGCCTCCCTGCGAGCCTTGGAGCCCCCCGCTTACTAGCTAGGCGATTTGGAGCAAATTATTGAACCTCTTTACATGTTTCCTCATTTATAAAATGTAGATAATATTCCCAGTCTGTGCAGGCTACTGCGAGGATTGAGTCAGAGAGCGCATGGAAGCCCTTGATCGGTAGATGTGAGTTACCGGCTATCCCTTGGTTCTGGAGTCTCCTCGCTCCTCACTTTTCCTGCCCCTTGACTGGGGCTCCAGGGCTGCCCCAGAGTTAGCCTGGCTTCCTCCGGCTCAGCGGTCCCTCAGAGGAGCCTCAGAGGAAGGGAACCCCTCCAAGAGCAGTGGGCATCTCTGCTCCTCTGGCCAGCCCCCGCCAGGTCGTGTTTGGGAACCCACAGCCAGGGCCTCGGGGGAAGCAAAGACTGGCAGGTCCAGGGCCTGGGAGGCAGGCGTCTACCTTCTCACTGATGCTTTCCCGTTCTTCTCTTGCTGCTGCTTCGGCTCCCACAGCATCCTCCTGGGCTAGGGGACAAACCAGGACCTGAGCTGAAACAGAAAACCAAAACAGACCATCGCTTTCTCCCATGCTCAGAGATGGGACTTGTGTTTCAGAGTGGACATTCCAGAGCACCATCTCTCCCTTAGAAATCCCCAAGCCCTGCCCTCAGGCCCCCAGCACAACAGCCACCTCATCCCCAAGCCTAGATAATGTGGTCGAGACCACACCTGGTTCTCTTCAAACTAACCCTTGCCCGTGGCCTGGAACATAACAGGCTCAAGGCAGGAGCTGAAGACATGAGTCCACCCACCTACTCTTAACCTCCATCAGTGACTGCAAGAGCTGAAGACTGCCTTCTGTGTTCCCATATGGCCAGGCCTTGCATATTTCTTCCTTCCTTGTCCCCAGCCCTGCCCTCTGCCCTCCCATGTCCCAGCCCGTCCTACCTGCCTGGGCCAGCTGATCCCAGTCTCTGGGGCTGAGCCCCCCTGCAAAGGTGAGGGCTTACTTCAGAGGCTCTTTCTCCCTAAACAGAGGAAAGCCCTGGAGTCAGGAATGAAGGGGGTGACCTTCCCATGCTTCTGGCTCCCCTTTTCCTCCTGCCCCCATGCCTAGTGATTCACCCCAGTATTGAGGGGCAGAAGCATATAAGAAACCAGTTGGAATTGATGACAGTGTAACTGGAGAGCAGAAATGTCACCCCCACTGCCACCCCCAGCCAGCCTTCCATGGCAGCCACAATCAGCAGGTGGTTCCTCCATGTCAGACCAATTTTTCCAGTTAACTGGGTCCCAAGGAGTTAATAGGCAACTGCTTCGTTCTGGCTAAGTCACACCAGGCCCGGCCTGGCCAGATGGTCCTCTGATTTGGCCTTTCCTCCCCTGCCAGGAGGTCCAGCCCATTTCATGTAGAAGAGACACTGCCTGAAAATCAGAGGCCTGATGCTCCCACATAAGCTGCAAATTAGATGGACGATCTTGAGCAAGTCATTTAAATCTCACTGTCCCTTGGTTTCCTCAACCATTAACAAGAGATAAAAAGTACCTTCTGCCAAACCTTCTGAGTCAGAGTTAACAAACAAGAACCCTCTGGAGAAGAACAAAGCACCAATCAAGTATAAAATAACAAAAGAATGGCTAGCTAGCGTTCATTGAGCAATTACTTCTCGCCCTCATAGAAACTTCACAACCACTTTGTTACTAACCCCAGTTTACATACGAATAGAATGATCACATAATTTCCCCAAAGTCTCTCAGTGAGAAGGAAGCCAGGACTTAAATTCCGGCTGCCCAACCCTGCACCCAAACTTAATAGTGAGGACCAGTCAGCATTTGAGTGCCTCCTATGCGTGAGGCCCGGTGACAGTCATTCTATATGTCAGCCCGTTTAATTAGTAATATCAATCAGCCACTACTGTGATGATGTCAGCTAGCCTAGCGAGTTGAGGAAGAGTGTCACAGAAATGTCTCTGTGTCCTGTGCATGCCCACGGCTTCCTGCTGGGTCTTCTGACAGAGTCTGGGAGAATCCCAGGATCACGACGACAAGAAACAGAAAGACTCTGAGTTCTCTCGGTTGCCCGTTTCCACATATCTAAGGGACACATTGCAGGCAGGTCCCCACTCATAAGGAGACATAAAGGGTCACAGGCATGCATGCTACTGTACCCGCCATCTGAGAACACACTGTGTGGAGACACCCTCCAGCCGGTGGGCCCTGGAGCCCCAGGACGTCACAAGATCTTTTTTTGCTTTTGTCTAAAGAGTAAGAGAGTCACTTTTCAGACAGGTCTCCCACGCTAGGTGGGTCCCAAGGCACAAAAAGAACATTCACACATAGGTACTTAATAAATATTCGCTGATTCTTTTCAGCGTTTCCTTGGGCATAGGAGCTTCTATCATAGAATGACATTGGTCACCCAGGAAGGGAAAAGTCTGTAAGTTCCCACAACTTCACCCCCTAAAGGCCACATGGCTTCAACCTAGGGAAGAGTTAACTTCCTGGCCACTGGAGACAGCGTCCTGCCCGCAGGGGCTGCCCAGCCAATGGCGCTCAACACTGATGATGTCATGCTGCTCCTGCGCCTTCTATTGGGGACTGGACAGCGAATCCTGCTGGAGTTCAGGCAGTGGAGCGGCTGAGGCGGGAGGGGGCAGAGGAGGAGGGGGGGGAAGGGAAGGGTGAGGAAAGGCAAGCAGAGCCCGCAGAGCTGGTCAACCTTGTCCCTCTTTCCACTCCCCTGCACCCTCCAACAGAAGGTGCCCCTGGGGACCATTCGCACTTGGAGGAGCAAGGCAGAGCAGCTTTGGTCCAGAGGAGGGGGCTGGGGGTTCCCATTCCCAACTGGAGAAAACAGACATCCAGCCTGCCTACCAGGCATACAGGAACAGGGCAACAAGGGCAAGGACCAGGATACAGTGCACACACATGCACACACGTGCACCCCCAGGCATGCACAGTGACAGCTTCCTTGGCAGCACCCTCCCTCCCCCACCCCAGCCCCTTTTCTGCCTCACCTGACTGAGGACTGGAGGTCTGTGTCCAAGCTGCTGCCCATAACTGCCCCATCCACACCACTGGGCTCTCTGTGGGAGGCAAGAACAGGCAGGAAGAGCTGTGGCCAGCACCCAGTCACTCCCTGCTCCTCCACAGGACCTAGCCACGTTGAACTATGGGACTGGAGGCTGCAGCCTAGTGCCTCGGAAGCTCCAAGTTCCCTCCATTCTGAGCTTCTCAGGGGTCCTGGCAAATGCCCTCCCAGCCCCCTGGAGGTCCAGGCAACCCCTGCCCACCTTCAGCTTGGCTGGAGCCCAGATCAATACTTCCTCCCCCACCCCAGCCATAGCCCAGTCAGTTTCTCACGGTTGGACACGGTTGGCAAATCGACGACGCCAGAGCATGGCCAAGGTGCTGAGCAGGAGGAGGGTGGTACACATGGCTCAGCTGCCCCATCCCCTCCCAGACCAAGTCTGCAGAAGACGGCCACGGGCAAGGGGCCAAAATGGCCCCGCCGGCTTTCAGGAGCCACTGCCGTCTGTCCCGAGGTTCCTGTTGGGGATGGATTAGGAGGCTCAAGCTTCTTAGTAGGGTCAGCAGCCTGACCTTGTGAGGACTGATTAAGCTCACCGGGCCCAGGTTCTCCCCTCCAGTGACAGCGTCAGGGTGTGCATCGTGGCACTGAGCAAGTATTCGGCATGTAGAGTTGGTAAGACTGGGCCTTGCTCTCAAGGAGCTGACAGTCTAGACAAACGCTCTGTCAAGTTAAATAAGTGACTGCAATAGAGTGACTCAGGAGCACTTTGGGCGTTGCAAGCATCAGGTAAAGTTCAAAGGAGGAGCTGGGGGCGTCTGAATGTGCAGATGCTCAGGGAAGGATGGGCCCTCGGGCAGAAGACTCTGCCCAGGTTGCTGACATGAGAGCACGTGGCATCTTCCAGTACCTGAAAGTTGAGTGGCAGTGGACAATGATGTCACAGTGGAGGCATCAGGAGAGGAGGAAGACAGGGGAAGAATATTAGACGATGGAGGCAGAAAGACAAGGGAGAACAGAGAGCGAAGGGCTGGCTCAGTTTTACCCTCTGGACAATCCCTCCAAACTTCCGAGTACACGCCCTCTTCTGTGAAAGGCACAAGTGTGCACTCACAAAATAGTACACGCACCTACTTACAAACTATATGCTGGGGTACGACACAAATACATTCCTACACCATAAGAGTTACATAAAATTTGTAAAGGATGAGATGAAAAGAAATAGAATTAAGATTTCTCCTATTTTCTTTCCACGACCCAGGGGAACCCCTTCGGCAGCAGCTTGGGGGGCTGCCACCCCAGCTTTGGGAAGCTGTCAGGGGAGTTCGGTGGAGGATGGAGCCAGCAATGGCCACGCCAGGACGTGGGTCTGAGAATAATGTAAGAACCCGAACCATCCACTCTCCTCCATTCCTTCCAAGAGCCTCGAAGGCATTAGGCTTTTCTTCCCTAATGTAGGTGCAGACAATGTCAGAGGCACTGCCCAGGGGGCCCAGCAGGCATCTGAACCCTGAGCTCCAGGAAGGGCCCAGGTTGGGGCAGGGCTGGGCCTGGACAGGTTCTCACTGCCTCCCTTGTTCTCTGTCTTAAAATTGGATTTTAAGAATAAATGCATGATCCAGAGCTGAAGAGGAGAGCTAACCCTTGGCAATGCTCAGGCAGTGGGACAGCAAGTCTTGAGCAGGACAAGTGTTTCCAGGGAGCCTGAGGAAGAAACAGAGACACCCCACCTGTCCTGTGACTTCTGTTTCAGACACTGCAGACCCTGTCTGCCCTCAGGCTTCTCTGGACTAAGCAGCTGCTGCAGGGCAGGCACCCTGGGGCTCTCAGAGGCAGTCCGAGCCTCTGGCCTAGTGTCACTCACACCTCCCTGAGCAGGGTCCACCAGGACGGATTTGTCCCTGCCGTTCCCAGAGTAGGGGCCTTGGTGGGAACTGAGACAAGACTTGTCGACCTCGAGGTCCTCTCTGCCCTTTCTTTCGGACTTCCCTCTGCCACCGCCAGGGCCGGAATTCAGGGCAGCGCCTGGTTCTTGCCTGTCTGTGTCATTAAAAAGCCCCCCAGGGACTTCTGGCTGCAGCCACCGCGTGCGTGCACCGAGGAGAAGGGGAGGTGGCCGGAAGGGAAGGGGGGCGCAGGGCCCTGCCGCCCGGGATTGGAGGTGTGCTCGAGTTCCGACAGCCCCAGTAACTGCTCCCGAGCCAGGGGTCCGGCGCTCTGGGAGTGGCGCCGCGGCCCTCAGCGGCTAGCTCCAGAGATGGGGCGAGCGGGGGCCCAGCTCGTTCCGTGGCGGCTGCCGGAGGGGCTCGCGTTCGCCCCCTCGGGCTGGCGACGGCCGGCCGCGCCACAAATGCCTAGGAGTGTGACTTTCAGTCAGTTCCCTGCCGCGTGAAGGGTACACACCCGCACACCCGCGACACCGCACGCAGCAGGAGCCGGGACGCTGTGCCCCCAGACCCGCACCAGCTGGGCGCACTCCTGTGCTGCCCGCGCCGCCCGGCGCCGCGCGACCGCCCCTTCCTCCCGGGACCCCCAGCACACCGGCCACACCTACCCCCAGCCCCGCCCCGCCGTCCAACTCCGCCGTGGCCTTGCGGTGGGCGGGCGGCAGCCGTGTAGCCCCCACCCCGCCCAGCCCTCACCTTGCCGGAATTGGCTCACCGACACGGACTTGGGGGTTTGGAGCGGATTTATTTTTTTAAACATTTTTTCAGCAGACCACATCTCCGCCCCCCGCTCGCGGTCCCCCGCCCCCCGCACATATACCCTGCACACCACACACACACACACACACACACACACACACACACACACACACCCGGCGCGCACAGACACACGCTCCCTCCCTCCGGCGCTCTACCCCTCGCCCGCCCGCCGCGCACGCAGCCGGCCCGGCTCCCCGCGCCCCGCGCCCCGCCGCCGCCGCCGCCGAGCGAAGCCGGGCTGGGCTCGGAGCCGCTCATGGAGAAAGTGCCGGGCGAGATGGAGATCGAGCGCAGGGAGCGGAGCGAGGAGCTGTCCGAGGCGGAGAGGAAGGCGGTGCAGGCTACGTGGGCCCGGCTCTATGCCAACTGCGAGGACGTGGGGGTGGCCATCCTGGTGAGGTAGGTGTCGCCCCAGCCCGGCCGGGCCCAGGGCAGGGAGGGCGGCAGCGGCTCCGGGCAGAAGCAGGCTGGGCCCGGGTCCGAGCTCAGCGCCACCTCCCCAGCCGCGATCGGGCCGGGCCGGGCACGGGCAGCGTGGGCGCCTTGGGGTGGGCGAAGCCCCCGTGGAACCTTTCCTAGCCCCGGGCGCGGGGCTCACTAGGAACTAGAAGCCAGATGCGGGAGGGCGCCTCGGTCCCCCACCTCTCCTCTCCCTCAGAACTCCTCGCTCAGCGGCCGTTCCCTCCTCACCAGCAAGCCCAGCCACCCCTCCAAGCCGTCAGGCGCACACGTTTTACCAGCCTTTCAAAGGGGGCCGTGAGGGCTCCCCATTTTAGAGACAAGAAAACTGAGGCTAAGCCAAGAAGGGGGACAAAGAGGAGTAGAACCCTCTCTCCAGCTCCGCCGCTTTCCCTGTTCAAAGCCTCTTGGAAGAACAGAGCACAGAGCAAGAGAGTAGAGGTCAGAAGGAGTAGACCCTGGGGTCGGGTTTCCCAGGCCGCCTTCCTGCCAGGGGGGTGGGCCAGCAGGGAGCTCCCAGGTAAGGCACAGGTGAGTGGAGAAGCAAACAGTCCCCTAGGATACAGTCCCTGCTGAGTTTGATGGAGAAGGGAGAAGAGAGAAGCTTCAGGAGACAGGGCCCAGCCCTGAAACCCCCACCTAGGAAGGAAATGCTGTCTTGGGCTCAGGGCACCACATGCCTCCGAGGGGCCCACAGAGAGACAGTTATTCACACACCTACACACAGGTGCACATACACCACTCTCACGAACTCCTCAAGCCCCACCAGCGAGTTACTGACTCTAGCTCCAAATCCATGCTCTTCCCACAAGTGCTGGTCTCTGGGGTGCAGGCGGAGAGGCCCCAGACCACACTCACCCTGAGGCCCCTGTCCTTGGCGGAGGGAAGCTGTCAAATCTAGGACAGAGCAGGGCAGACTTGTTCTGTGAAGATGGGGCGAAACCTGGCCTCTGGAAGGACAGCTTCAGTGCACGCCTGGCTCCCAGGTCGCCGTCTGCAGCTCCCATTTCCCCCGCCCCCACCCCTGCCTCTCCAGAGCCTGGGACCTACCCAGCTCCCTATTGATGTGCCCTGATTCCTCCAACTTAGAAATAGATTTTGGAGGAAAAAGAGCAAGAAGCACTTCTGAGGAGTTAGCGGAGCTTTCCTGAGGCGTGAGGAAGGGGCAGCTCCCAGGCCCAGAAACACAGCCCGGTGGGGGGTGGGGCAGGAACCCAAGAGGGGATGGGGACCCTGAAGCCCCACACCCTGAGACCCCGATCCGCACGTGCGAGCACCCACACACCACGCAGTGGGCAGCGCGGTCCCAGACGTGCCAGACTGCATCCTCCAAGGGCCGCTCTCAGCCATGTGTGTCGGCACAGCAGGCCCCCAGGCCTCGGGGTGCACACATGGGTCACCAAGCGGAACCAAGGCAGGGTCCACAGGACCTTGGAGACTCTCTGTCCCAACCCCTGCCATTTACGGGTGAGGACATGTAGAGGATGTGTTCACAATCCATTTCCTGGGCGCCCCTGAACCTCCCCAGGAATGGGACAGGGTGGTGGTGGGGTGTGCAGAGGAAAAACACTGAGGGCAGGGCTGTTTCTGGGTAGTCTGAGCTCTTGGTGGGGTTTTCTTTCTCCCTCTGCACCCCCTCTGGCTCCCTGTTCTTGACTCTTAGAGGGAGCTGGGCCTGGGCTGGGGGAGGTATTTACCAATGTGCTCCGTGCTCAGAGAGAGGCCCCAAAAACCTGAGGTTTGAGTTAGCAACTAGATCTAGCCTGCCACACTTCACTTGACCCCACCTCTGTGTTGACTAGAGCCCAGCCCGAGGGACAGCCTGGCCCAGCACAGTCTCAGCCCCAAGTCCCACAGCCTTCCCTTGCTTTTTCCCCCCTCCTGCTGCCTGCCCAGGGCCTGGCCAGGGGGGAGGCGTGGAGAGGGAGGTAAGGGCAAGACCGATTAGCTTCTCAGGGCTCCCAAAGTCCCTTCTGGGATCCTGGGCCCATCAGTCTTGTCACAATGCCCTGTCTTCCCACATACGACACACACATCCTCAAGGACAAGGCCCCAGCTAGAGCCTGAAACCCACCCAGCCCTCTGACCCATGCTCTCACATCCGCCCTCTGCACTGGGCCAGGCCCTGGGCAGCACATCCGCCTGCAGGGCAAGGAGGAGGCAGCCGTACCTCCGCACCCCCACCTGGAGAAGTTGGTGGGGGTGGAGGAGGAGTTACCTTTGGGGTCTGAGGCATACCCCACACTTCCACTCCCTGCCAGGGAGGCGACCAAGAGGGAACACCCACCCTCCCTCCTGGTTGTAACTCTGACACCTTCCCCCTCACACTCAGACAAGCCTATTTCAGGCTCTCTTGGAAGCCCAGATGCCTCCGGGAGCTGAGAAACTCCCCAGGGCTGAGGCTTCTCCCTGGCAGCACAGGCTGAGATGGGGTGGGCTGGGGGGAACATGGAGGGGACGGGCAGGAGGTGGGTGTGGAAGCCAGGAAGAAGGAGCAGAGCACGTGGGCCCCAGGCTCCCCGGCCCAAAAGTGGGGGCTCCCTGGGACTGTCATTCCTCAGGGCCATAACCCGGTGCTCAGTGTGGGGGCAGGGTCCCAGCCATGGTCCCCTGGCACGGCAGTCTCTCCAGGCAGGATGGGGAAGCCATCAAAGCAGGGCTGCCTGGGCTCCTCCCTTTATTGGGCAACCTTGGGCATCAATTCCTAATCCGTTAAATGGGGATGAAAACAGTGCTGACCTCAAGAGCGTATTGCAAGGATTAGTGAGAGCTCATACTAAGTGCTCAATAAATGTTCCCTGTTATTTCCTCATCAGTAGAATGGATGCAATACCTGCTTAGTTGTGGCAGTTAAATACAATAACAGAGGTGGAGATGCTTTGCAAATCTTCACATACCAGGCACATATGTATCATGATTTTTACTGCTATTGTAACATCCCCAAAGTCTAAGACGCTCATCTAAGTTCAGACAGGGTTTCTCACATTTGTCCCTCATTACGATGCTTCTCGAGAAAAAACCAACGTATTTTCAGACCCGTTGCCTCATTTGTCCTCACCAGTGTATCTGCAGAGCAGCAAGGGCAGGGACTCCCCTGACACTTCTGCAGACAGGGAGGCCGGGAAGTGGTTTGCCCAAGGTCACAGCTGGCCTCTGAGAGGGGCCCTCCCAAGTCTCCACAAGGACGGTGCCCAGGTCACTGTCCGAACCTCCCCCACCAATGGCAGCCCCATCACCGGGAGGGATGGCCCCGCCAGATGCTCTCTCTGCATCCCTTCCAGCTCTCACATCTGAGACTCGACTCCCAGCCAAAGGGCTGGGTTGGCAAAGTATCAGCTCTCTGAACACAGAGGGGGACATGCCAAAGGTGTGGAACAGCCTCAAAAGAAGTAGGTCCAAGACACTCCATACGTTTCCTGAGGATTAAGTCTGTGCATGTGTCTCGTGTGGCACCCAGCCCCGGCTGGGAGAGGAGGTACAAATGTCACCGTCGTTCTGCACACTGCAGGGCCCCGGCCAGGGCAGGGGGTCAGAGGGTGCATGAGACCTGGCTTCTGCGGTTGGGTTTGGGATCCAGTCTGACAGACTGAAAGGGTGGCAGCGAGTGCCACCTGAGTGGCACTTATGGCCTTGAGGGGAAAGCAGTATCTCCAGGCCAGGCTGGGGACTCAGAGAGAGGCGAGTCTGACACAGGGAACGAGTAAGGAAGGCATCCACTGTGCGGCCCACCCGAGGAATGTTTTACCAACGGCAAGTGAAGCTGTTCGGCTGGAGCAGAGATGGCTTGAGTGTAGGGAAGAACACGGACACGAGGTTGGAGGAATGTGTATGGGACAGTCTGTAAGGAGCCTGGAATGCCTGGTTAAGGAGTTCTGACTTTGTTTGGTAGACCGTGGGGAGCCGCTGAATGTTTCTGAGCATGAGAGTGACCTATTGAAAGCAGCAGTGGGGGGCAAATCAGACAATTTCAGATAAACTTGTGATTCCAGAACATGAGCTCTCACCCTCTCGGCCGTGCAGGGCGTGTAGGGTTTGGAAAGGAGGCAAGGAGCAGGGAAGGCCGAGCCTGGGAGAGAAGCGCAGCCTGAGCACGCCTGGCCGCAGACATGGCGGGCCGGGGAGGGGCCGCGTGCAAGGCAGCTTGGACAGAGCGGGGTCTGTGCTGGAGGGCCACATGCACAGTGGAAACAATTATGGGGGGTGGCTCCTGCTTCAGCTCCCACCCCCCCCACCATCCTGGCTGCATCAGGGTGGGGCCTGAGGGAGCCCCCCCCCCAGTGTCATCCTGTCCCTCCTGCCAGGTTCTTTGTGAACTTCCCCTCCGCCAAGCAGTACTTCAGCCAGTTCAAGCATATGGAGGAGCCCCTGGAGATGGAGCGGAGCCCCCAGCTGCGGAAGCACGCCTGCCGGGTCATGGGGGCCCTCAACACGGTGGTGGAGAACCTGCACGACCCCGACAAGGTGTCCTCTGTGCTCGCCCTTGTGGGCAAAGCCCATGCCTTAAAGCACAAGGTGGAGCCCGTGTACTTCAAGGTATGTCGCTGGATGGGTGCTGCGGCCCCACCGCCACCATGCTCTGCTCCAGAGCCCCCCAGGGCCCACACTCCAGCCACCTGCAGCCTGTAGGCTCTTGGGGGCTCCCTGGGGCAGCAGAGGTGCCCGCTGGGCTGCCCAGCCTCTTCCCCTGGAGTGGCTGTGACAGGGGGCAGTGCCCAGCAGCCGGAGGGAGGAGCAGGGTCCAGAGCAGCTCTTGTCTTGAGAGTGTCTGGTTCCCAAAGCTGCCAGGCTATTGTGTTATGAATGATCCCCTTGGCCACAGGCGGGACACAGGGGTCCTGGGGGCAGCAGGAAGGGGCAGGGCGCCCAGCGTTCGTTCACTCCTCCTTCCTCCTTTGCCCCCAGATCCTCTCTGGCGTCATTCTGGAGGTGATCGCCGAGGAATTTGCCAATGACTTCCCGCCCGAGACGCAGAGAGCCTGGACCAAGCTGCGTGGCCTCATCTACAGCCACGTGACTGCCGCCTACAAGGAAGTGGGCTGGGTACAGCAGGTCCCCAACGCCACCACGTGAGGAGGCGGGGGAGGGTGGGCCGGGCAGCCTCCCTGCCATGTCCTCTCCTGTCCCCCAGGTCTCCCATCTCTCCTAGGGCCCGGGGGCTGACCACCAGGGCAGGAACACTTGGGGCAGGCCAACTCTGGGGTCTGACATTTAAGAACAGGCGCAGTAGGAAAAGGCCTTCGAGACGGCTCCCCCGCTGACTTCAGGCCGCTCTGCTCTTGGCTGCCCAGAGCCGGGAGTCCCAGCAAATTCTCCAACAGGGAGCAAGGGAGCGCCCGGAGCCCCCACGGCCACAACTGCCCGGGCAGAGAGGCGCCAGAGGCTCTGGTGGGAAGCCTGGCCCAAGAGGCTCAGAGGCAGCCAGGCCAGCTCCGGCCACTTCCTCCCTGGGCACCAATTACACGGGGCTGTTTTTTCATCGACGCTGACCAATGCTCCTGCCCGCTGCCTCAGCAAGGGTTAGAGCCAGGAGGATCACGAGGACATGTACACACACACACTCATGCCCAAGCCCAGGCAGGACCTACATGGGTGTCACTCGCACGCACGCTAGCGAGGGATTGTTTACTTCCAGGCTGACCCAGAGGCCGGGCTTCCAGTTCTGGGCCCAGAGATGGCTCAAGGAGGGTGGCCGGCCTCAGTGACTCCAGCCGACTTGGAGCAGGAGGGGGAGGGCTACCCCCAGACGTGACAGCTGGGAACGCTCCTGCCTCCCTGGGCCCCCAAGGGGCAGCTGGTTCTGGGAGCTGAATGGAGGGGTGGAGGCAGGGCTGGAGTAGGAAGAGAGAGGAGCGGGGGCGGGAATGGGAACCAAGGGTCAGCCAGCGGCTCAGGACACGCGTTGTAGAGAAACATTCCCAGCAGTTTCCCATGGAAGAGGCGGCGTCTCCTCCCGGGCTCTGCACGGGCCCCCAAGGCTGCCAGACTCCTGCTCACGGGCCTCCCCTGAGGGCAGCCGGGTAGGCCAGGCCAGCTGCCCTTCCTGCTGGGACCACACTGGCCCGTGTGCTCCTGCTCCCCTCCCCCACATCGGCACCACCCCCGGAGAGTGGAGTCCTCGGAAACTGCTGGCTGTAGCGAGGACAGCTCCAGATGTGCACAGCTGGGCCCTGGCCTATCCCAGACCCTGGAGTAGATGGGAAATAGGCAGAGATTTTTACCTGCCAGAGGAGGGCACTGGCAGAGCCTAAAGAGCTGGGCTTACCACCCCACGCCAGCCAGCTGTCACCCAGAGGAGCCAGGGGCAGAGAAGGGCCACGGAGAGGAGGGGGCTTGCCCTCCCACCTCTCTCCCCGGGCAGGCTCTGCCGCCAAAGAAGAGTTTGTTTACAGCCAGGACACAAGACTTCCTGCTTCCAGAGAAAAAGACTTTTTTATAGGGGCCTAGAGGGACCGGAGAGAGAGCTGGCTGGGCACGAGCCCCAGTGAATCAGAAACACATGGCTAAGGCGATGCCCCGCCCCGCCCCTCTCTGCCCCAGCGGGACCCCAGGGACTTAAAGCTCTCCAAACCCCAAATGTGTGGAAATTGCTGAAGTCTCCTCCTCCACCCCATTTCTGCTCCTTGTGGACTGAATGGGCTCCGGGGGGACTGGGGGCCCAGCTGCCTCCCACACAGGGGGAAGCCCCATCTGTCGGGTCCTGGGGTTCCTCATCCCTTTGCACCCTCAACCCAACTCCCGGTTTCCCAAGGGCATGAGTGAGTTTCCAAGAAGTGTCTCTCTGGCCTGGGCCTGCAGACCCAATCTACTATCGGGGTCCAAATGGGCTCAGAGGGTGGGATGGAGTTACAAAGCAGAGTTCTAGAAGGCCCCGTCCAGCTTGTCTTATCTGGGACGCAGTGGTGGGCCGGCGCCGCTGTTTATGGAACCGTCTCTGCTCCAGGGTGTGTGCGCCTCTGCGTGGGCGGCGCGGGGGGGTGGGGGTGGTGAGTACATGTGCAGGGAACATGGACAGACGGACGGGTGGCCAGGGGAGGTAGGAGGCCGGACAGAAGGCACCACATTTCAGATTTAGTGGAAAAAGAGCTCACATTTGTATGGTGCTTTGCAGTTTGTGAAACACCTCAAACTTTGACACTTTATGTCACTCGATTCTCACGCAGACAGGCCACAGACTTGCCCGAGGCCACACAGTAGGTCTGTGGCAGGAGGGGGACCTAGGACTCCGGTCTAATGGTTGCTTTCAACTGCACTGTGCCAAGTCTCAGCAGAAAGCCGCTGCCCCGCCATCCCCGGATCCCCCTCCCTGGTCCCCCAGTGTCCCTGGTCTCCTTCCCAGCCCCTGGTAACCTGTTACCTCCATTTCCTATTTCGTCCACAGCCCACCGGCCACACTGCCCTCTTCGGGGCCGTAGGACCCCACCCTCCTCCCCCCCTCCCTGGCAGCACCTGAGCAGAAGGCCGAGTTCTGAAGACCCTCCTTGACCCTCCATGTCTGGGTGCCAAGGAAGCTGGAGGACTCCCTGACTCGATTTCCCGGAAGGAGGCCTCTGCCACGCCGCCGTCCCCCTGGAGCTGCCGGGAGGCGGCGCTGGCTGCCTGGATGCTGACCCAGCGCGGCGGGCGGGGGCCCTTCCTCCTTGCAGGCTGGGCCCGCTCTTCTTAGCTTTTCTACTCACTGTTAGAGAGAGACCTAGCTGAGCGCTGGTCAGCTGGCGGGAAGTGGGGACAGGAGTCGCTCCGGGGTAGACCGGCCCGTTTCTATGTGCCCGGCCAGCATGCAGGTCTCCACGTCACCATCTAGAGCATCACGCGCACTTCTACCATATATGCAGATATATCCTATATACAGTCTCTATACAAACATATGCACACATATACACACGGACGTATCTATAATGTGTATCTGCAGGGCCCAGAAGCCTCCGTCTGCCCACCTGCGTGTGGGGCAGGAAGGGGTCCCGGGCGAGCAGAGAACCGAATGTTCTGGCGGAGGAGGAAGCCCCACAGCAGTGCAGAGCGGGTCTGGGCCTGGATGGACAGGGCTGGGGTGACCCGGCTTGCCCGCAAAACCCAGCCCATTCTCTCTGACCAGCTCCCCACATCCCCACTTTGCGCTGCCAGGCAAAAGGCTCTGGCTCCCCCCTCTCCCTCGAAGGATCTGGCTCACTGAGTTGCCCCAGCATGGGTCATAGCAGACAGATGGGGACCAGAAGTTCTGGGCAGGGTGGCTGCGCTGGGGAAGGGGACTTAGTAAAGAAACCTCGGATGCCAGCTCCACCCGCCTTTGCCACGAAGACAGTCCTGGGGGCATCCAGGCTGCTCCAGCAGCTGGACGACAGGACCAGATGCCTGAGTCTCACCCTCAGCACTGGGGGCCGAGCACCCTGCCCTTCCCGCCCCTCCTCTGTCCATCCATCCGTGTCAGCCTTGCCAGGGACCCCCCACGTGGGCCCCTTGGTCATGTGTATCGTCCTCAAGGATGTTTTGCTGCTGTGGCTACTGTGCCTGTGTCCCCGCCCCCGTCCCACCCCCATGCAGCCATCCACGGAACCGCCTGTCCTTTTGTAGATCCTGATGTTTGTAACCAGACCCAGCTGTGTCATTAAACAGACCCGTTCTTGCTGTACCTGTGCACACTCGCTCGGTCTTTTCCCGCGACCTGCTCTCGCCTCTGTCTCCCCTCCCTAGTTCTGGACTTGGCCCTTTTTCTTGAAATCTCCCCCAAGGCCCCTCCTCACCTGTGTCTCAGCTACTCCTGGGCCCCTCTCTAAATCGTGGCTTAGAACGGCCGGGGCCCCTCTCCTGTTTGATCAAGAACACGGGGCTGCAGACTGGAAGCTGGGTTTTGTGGGAGGGTGGGGGCGTCTATACTTGTTAAAAAGTCAGAGGCCTTTTAAGATTTTTGTTCTGGAAATCTCCTAGCCAGGATAGGATAAGTGAGGAAGATTCAAGGGAGGGATTTCCGGACAGAGGCCCCCTTTGTTCACGCTCTAGCTATAGAGCCGAGGATCAAACCTTGACCTTGTAGACATGAGCACTAGACGCCGGGGGGGCTGAGAGCCCAGCCCTGTGGCTCCAGTCACATGTGGTGGGTCAGCCCTTGGGTGCTTGAGAAGGAAACCTGCTCTCATCAGCCTGAACCCCCAACACCTTCCCTGAGCTCTCAGCCCCCAGACCTCTTCCCAAGCCCTCTGTCCTGCACCCCACAGCCTGCCGGGCCAGGCCTGCCCAGCCCCACCCCACAGTGGAGGCAACGGCAGCATCAGCTCTCTGAGAAGGGACCAGGAGGTCACCACCCTGGGGTGGGCTGCAGGAGAAGCAGGAAACAGTCCCGGCCCCTTGGGAGGGCTGCAGGCTGCCTGGGAAGACTCAGCTGACACACAGGAAACGTCTTGTCTCCCAGACTGCGAACTCCGTGGATGCTGGCTGCGCCTTCATGTCCTGGGCCTGGCACAGTGCGGGTCCTCAGTAGAAATCCAAAGAATAAACGAATATCACTCTTAGAAAGCAAGACAAGTACACTGCGTGAGCTGTGTGAGCTGAAACGGGGTGCAGAGTGGAGAAGACGGTGCAGGCCGGGCCTTCCCAGGGAGGCAGCACCGTAAGACAGAGGTCACGGGCTCAGTCTCAGCCTCTTAGCACTGTGTGACCTTGGGCAAATCACTCAGCCTTTCTGAGCCGCAGTCACCTCTAATTTAAAGTAGGAGTGAACACAAAGCCTGCTCTGCAAGGTGGGTACCAGGAGGAGGAGGAGGAGGACGTCTGCCACAGGCTTAGCACGGTGCTAGGGACGCTCAGGACAGTGACTGCCAGGCCACGGGGGCAATGTCGGGAGGCGGAGGGCCAGGCCCCTGGTGGGCTCAGGCGGAGCCAGGGCCAGAGCAGGACAGGGGCCACAGACCACAAGGCCCCAGGGCTGGTGGGAGGAGAGGGGCGTCTGAGGTGAGGGCAGGGGACAGGGTCTGGGAAGAAAGGCCCCTTCCCCATCTCACTTCGGTTGGCTTGAGAGTGGTGGAGGGGCTTCTGAACTGGTCAAAACCAGAATCCTTCCAGAAGGCGGCCCTTCAGGAAGGTTCTCCCCACTCCCCACCCGCTAGGCAGAGGACACTGGCCATTAGGGAACCAGCCTAGGCCCCGGTGTGGAGCCCAGCAGGCGGGAGCCAAGCGCAGGCCACGCCCGACAGGCCCGTGCCCCGGCTGGGCCCCTGGCTGTGGGGCCGCCGGTAGCGAGCACCGGCTGGGGTTTGGCTTCTGCTCTACACTCCCAGTTAGCCACCCCGCCCGAGGGCTGAGCAACTGGGTCAGCTCCCCCGGCGAGCGCGGGCCGTGAGCGGCGGGTGCCGGGAAGCTGGGTGCGCGGAGGCGGCCGCTCCTCCCCGACAAAGCGGCCCCGCGGCGCGGCCCCACAGCGCCCCCTGCTGGCCGCGCGGGGACCTCGCCGGGAGGCCGCCGCTCCCGGTTCACCTGAGGGAGGTGCAGCCACGTGGGAGCCTGAGGCTAGGGAAGCCGAAGCAACCCCTGGCTGTCCTCCAGAAGGAGGCTCCTGCGCAGCTCTGTACACACTTCTGGAAATATCCTCCCATAGTTTGAACAAAGTAGAAAAAGTTGCACTTTGGGAGGCTGATATGGGAAGATCGCTCGAGGCCAGGAGTTGGAGACCAGCCTGGGCAACATAGCGAGACCCTGTCTGTACAAAAAAATAGAAAAATTAGCTAGGCCTGGTGGTGCGCACCTGTAGTCCTAGCTACTCCGGACGGTGAGACAGGAGGATCTCTTGAGCCCAGGAGTTCGAGGCTGCAGTGAGCTATGATTGGCCACGGCACTCCAGCCTGGGTGACAGCGAGACCCCGGTGGGAGCGCAGCAGCCAGGCAGGGTCATTAACCCCACAAACAACAAAAAAGCAACAAAGCCTGTCTTTGTTTACAGTTTTGAGTTTTTCTTCATCATGGATGGTTTTGTTTTAATATTGATTTTTTATAATAAAATATTGCATTTAAATACTATTTCTCTTGATTACTGTCCCCTTAAATTTTGGGCCCCAGGCAGTGCCTCACCCTTTCCTAGGCTCCGTCTTAGTGTATCCAGTTTGAGGGACCCCAGCTGAAAAACATCCATTTTTGACCTCAAGAAAGTCCCCCACAGACCCACAGGGCCATAGGTTTCATAGTTGTTCGCTGGACACCTTTGGTAAGAGAATCTACCGCAGCGAGTGTGAGTGCAGACTTGGCAGTGCCGCAGGGCTGGAGACACCGGCTCAGGAGCTTTCGATGGTTTGGACCAGGAGCCCATTCGGGCTGCCAAGGCGAGGAGCTGTACGGTAAGAGTGTGCCTGCACATGAGGGAGTCAGGTGTCTAGAGGTCAGGTGTCTAGAGGTCGGGTGACTGGAGGTCAGGAAAACCACACAAGCAAGCTCCACTTGAAGCGGAGACCAGCACAGCTGCCGGGGAGCCTGGGAACCGGACGGCGGGCCAGGGCGATTGCAGGCCCCCGAATCTCCTGAGCCCCCACTGCAGTCTGAAGTCCCTGGGATGCCCCTCCCCACAGGAGGGCTTCTCCCCCTCCCCTCCTCCCACCGCTGAGTAACCGTCTCTCAGTCTCCTCAGCAGAGGAACGATGTTGGAGCCATTCTCCGTGTCTGGGGCGGACAAAGCTCCCATTCCAGGCCGCCCCAGGAGCCCTGGCCATGTGGTTCAGAAGCTGGCTACTGCCACTGTGCCAGCACCAGGGCCCGTGTCAGGATTTCCTGGCACAGGACAGAGACACCCTCCCCAGACGACTTCCTGTCAGTTTTAACTTCTTTTTTTTTGAGACAGAGCCCGGCTCTGTTGCCCGGGCTAGAGTGCCATGGCGTCAGCCTAGCTCACAGCAACCTCAAACTCCTGGGCTCAAGCAATCCTCCTGCCTCAGCCTCCCG